AGCCGGATGACAATCAGGACAATATTCGGTTTAGTTTTTAAAACTTAGGAAACAATCTTTATTACCAGGCGACACTGATTAATGCAGCAGTGGATGTAAGTAACAGCATCGATCACATTAATGGATTCGCTAACGAGGTGCTGCGACATTGGTGAGAAGGAGTACAGGTTGGGTTTCTAAATAAGTTATAACATACAAGTAGAAGAAAAATGTTTAAAAAATCAATTTACTTTCCAGTAAGCACTGAATTAACAATTTACTGATTTAAAAAATTGAGCCATCTACAATTTTTCAACCATATTTCACAACAACACAAAATATAATCAAAAAAACAAAAACAGCTAATACAAAATCCATCAGCAAACATTAACATCAGGGTATAATTTAATCAGCAAAGCTTTAGATCAGTGCACACCGGGCAGTGAATATCAGCTGTGACCCCTTTATGTGTAAATGGGGTATAATAGCACCAATAACAAATCAGTGTATGACAAAGGAACAACCTCAAGAATAAAGGACGAAGCTGGTGATGTTCTGCATTTTCCTGAGTGCCAATAAATCCCATAAAAAGACCAAAATTATTAGCGTGTTAGCCCACACGCCACTTTAAACTTTAATACCCAAGGTTTTTATGGTGCAGTAATTTTCTCAGATAGTTGGATGCTGTGTTTTTATTAAATACTCTTCAGCCTGGATAAAATGGTGCATTTCTTGGGGACTAATTTCAGTGGCAGATTAATTTCTGTTTGGTCCTCTAGTGAGTTTTTTTTCAGCACTTGGACAAGACGAATACAGACTATCACCATCTTTCCATTATGATTTTACCCTCACAAAATGCTGTCAGGCAGTCCTGAGTCAGGATCTTTGTTTTTTATTTGCTCAGTGACTCCAATGACTCAGGTCCACGTCTCCATGATGGGATATGAGTGAGGGTTGGAGTGAGGTTAATTCTTGGTGCTTATGAGGGTTTGGTACAGTGGCTTCACAACAATATGGAGGAACAGGGAGCTGTCCATGAGATATTCAGACGTCCGGCGGTACAGGTCAGCTTCGGCCAAGAAATCGCCGTTTTCCTCTGTGCTCTGGTGGAAGTTGTAGACGTGCTTCACCACCACCTTCCCCTGCTGCTGAGCCATCACCAGCACCGTCTTCTGGAAGCTCACTCCAGCAAAGTCGGTGCTGGACGTGGCAGGCGTGATGATGATGCGAGGACGCCCTCCTTCTACGCGAGTCGGCTGCATGGCGCCCGTCTCGGTGTACATGGGCCTCATGCTCAGGGGCAACCAGCGCGGGGAGAACAGGACGTT